CCGTTCTCAGATGAAGCGGTGAGATTCCAATGTGAGGGCACACATTTTTTTTTCTTTGCCAGGGCGATGGAAAGAATTTAGGAGAGAACCTCTTGTTTTTGGTCGATGCTCGTTGCTAAACTGGACTTCGGACGCAGCAGTCTCACAGTCCATTAGTCTCCTTCTCCTGCGCCTGACTGTCTGAGACTCTTGAAAAACCGCCGGTATGGTACGCAGGGCGTGACAGGTTACGAGAGGAATGGGTATGGGTACGCACGCGAAACTCACAGAACAACGCACCGACGTGGATATGATACCTACCGATAGGGTGAAGGGTGGTGACGCACCACCAAGAGCAGTGTTGTACAAATGTGCAAGCGGCGACGGCCGGTACAATAGTAACAGCAATAAGATAGATAGACGGGAAAACCAACCATCTACTGCAGCCAGCCCTAGAGGCGAGAAATGAAAGGCGCGAGAGAGATCCGTGGTGGGAAAAGTCTGTTCGCTGCATGCGTACAAATCGCCGCGCGACCGGCTGGGCGAAGTGCGCAGGTTATTATGTGGAACTCTTCAGCAGTTAGTGAAGAACCTCTGATAGCGCTCTTGTCGAGGCCGGGGATTTTACAGTATTCCCGGGGTCACGTCACGAATGGTCGTTAGACAGGGGTTAGGGAAGGTTATTGACCGCGTTTAAGGTGCCCAACTTTGTGATGTTTTCGAGGTTATATCGATTTTTTCTTGACTGCTGCCATGTTCTGAAGTCTGACATACTGGCGCTAGCTGCTGTACCATTCCATTCCGAACAACATGGTGGGTTCGAAGCGAGGACGAATGGTGACTGCATCATCTTTTGGTTCACTACATAAATCTGAAAACATGGTGATAGGTTGACGGGGTGAATGAAGGGTGGGGCGGTTAGAGCGGGCTGTAATCGCCAGTACGCCCACAAGTAACTAGAACTAGGTCATTTGTGCGGTTGTTTAAGGAAGCACATAGTACCATGGAAGGTTGACTGCAAGTGCGTACTGGGAAACATCGACTGCAGCAGCTACAAGTAGAGTGAAACAAGGAGCGTATGCAAAGGGTGCCGAAAGGTGCAGTGAGTTATAGTCTACGCACATTGTATGGGCTGTAACAAAGGCCCTGCTACCAGCACCACCGCTGCTTCGAGAGGGAGGGCAGCTGGTGGTAGTACTCGACTTGGGGGCCGGAAACAAAGTCTTTCGTCACTTGCGGGGTGTAAGTGTGGGTGGGTATACGGGGGGGAGAAAACAAGAAGAGTCACGCACGCAGAGGTAGTGGGCGGGCGGCAACAGGGTAAAAAATATATACCGGACGAAATGTACATTATTTAATATTAAAAGTAGAAGAGAGACGAAAAGAGCAGAGAAAATAGGGGGGTCGCCACCACGCATGTTTTGTTATTTGCTGGTGACTTGCTCGGGTGGTTGCTTTTTGTTTTGGGCAGCAGGAAATACACCAACTTCACGGACCATTCGTTGAATGATAAGATCGAGGTCAACGACCATTTTCCCTCTCACCCTGCGGTGGGGCTCAATGGTGGACTGCAAAAAATGACTTCCACATACCCCCGGAGAGTTTTTCACTCCTATCAAGCAGTTCCAATACTCTAGCGTCTTCCAGAGTTGTGAAATGCTTCCGACGATAGAGACTCTCACGACTAATACCTCATGGATCATGACGCAAACAGGTGGCAATTCAACAAGTTTGTAAATCGACGTCCGTCCGGGCTTCACAGAACGACACACTCTAGTCTAATCCGGACATCAGCGTAGACTTCCCGCATGACTCGATCACTGGTCACAGGCACCAAGATCGTACCCTATATATTGTACTGTAGATGCATTTTTTGTGTTTTCCACCGCACTGAGACACACTGCCTTCTTCTCATTGGTCAGCCGGCCGGCTAGCGCAGTCGGATTTCGGGAAGTCCAACGACACACACACACTCTTCCCTCTTCCCTGGGTAGCATACAAGAATTTATTTATTTTTTTGCGACCACGTGGCAACTGCTGTTTTAGATTGTAGACCACCAGAACAGGTTCGGTATGGCTGCTGTAGGACTGACTGCTGTATGTAGACCACCACGAGGTAAGCGAGAGCGTGCATACGGAGTTTTACAAATGGTGTTGGTGGCGGTGGTCAGCCAGACTTGGCTCTCTCTGGGAATTCTTCTGCGACAACCGACGCGCCAGTGCAATTTTAGACTAGTACCGTCTCAAGATTTCACATACGCCAACAGGACGGGGACGAGGATGGTGCACGGCGAAAATTTGCTCGATCGCAAATATTCCGTTGTGTGTGGCATGAACATGCGCGCTTCTGTAGGGTCCTCTCGTCCTCTCGTTGTACAGAGCAGAGGCCGCATTTCATTTTCAGTATATTTGCTGCCAAGATACAAATGCCGGGCCCTGGTGGGCGGAAGCAGTCATTTTGCATTCGTGAAGACACAACAATCGCGGCAACAAAACGACAACAGCTACAACAACGACGACGCTGAAACTGATGCGCTGCAGCAGCTGGTGCTCATGCTGCCCCTACAGACTAGGATACATGTGTCGTGAAGTCGGGGAATTACACACACAGCACACCATCCAGAAGAAAAAAGGTGGGGGAAGGACCCCCCAGCGACTGAAAAAAATGATGTTCTTCCATGAATGTGCTGATGCGCTTGCCCCGGATCAAGCAAAAACACCGAATAATATGGAGATGCGAGTTGTGCGACTGCCAAACAAAGGGGCTGCACCGCTCTGCTGGAAGAAGCGCAGCAGTTATTCACGCCTCGCTTTTTCACTTCTAGACGTTAGACAAACCGACGGCCAAAAACAGCGCTCGCCGCACCCCTCGTGGCCGTACATCTCTTGACATTTGAAACTCTCTCACATCGTGATCGGAGAATCTGCTGCTGCTGTCCCTGGTGCACATGCACCCACGCGCGAGCAGCGATTACAATCCGCTTCCAAACACGTTCTGCCCAGCAGGCAACACACACACACACACACCCACGTCGGGGAAACCTAACCTCCGCCGCGTACATCACGGGAGAAAGACACCGCACTATGTAGGAGAACATCCGACACCGCCATGAGCAAGCACGGCATCTGTGCTACCCGAAACGCCACGTATGCCATGGCATGTATAAGTTAGAAGAGACGTTCGCAGCAGTCACCAGTCGCGTGGGGACTAAACGTGTAAGACCGACTCTTTTCGTACGCATATTCTGCTTCAACCGCTCTACCGCTCCACATGTGCTGAACGAAACTTGCGGTTCCTTCCACACATGTAGAGGCGGGGGGAGGGGGGGTAAACAGCGTCTGCTAGGAGAGATACATGGAGCGGTGGGCGTCGCAACAAAGACGTGTACACAGCTCAACAAACCCCCGCGCACCCTAGAGGGAGAAACAAGGAGCCAGCAGAGATGCCGTGATCCGTGCGGCGGCATTTTTTATGGCACACACCACCCAACAAGTAGGGGAAAAAAAAGAAAAGGCACAGGGTGGTTGGTGTTTGGGCACAGCGTGTATCTGAACTCCAAAGGGAAGAGGCAGACACAAGCCCGTGCTGTCTGTGTGTGCGGTGTGGTTTCTTTCTGCCGTGCGCGTGCCTCAGACAGCCGGCGCTGACGCCGGAGCCTGACAGGTTGCGTGTGTGGGGTGGTGGTTGCTACATTTCTTCGAGGCTGAAGTTCTGGGGTCGGAAATTAGCATAATGATGATGGCAAAAAAGTGCCCTTGCGCGGACCCTCCGAACAAGAAGGAAGCGCCGAGCCCCCATGAGCACGATGCCTCTCCACTGGCACGCCTCCCTCCAACGGTAATAAAAGAGGTAGTATGCAAATGTACCCTACACACGAAGGGGGACGCGGGCGGTGCTGTATGTTCCATGCCTAGATCGAATAATTCGAACCATGGTTTCGAGAGAGAGGGCGACGAGGTTGAACAGAGAAAGCCAGAGGGTAATGTTTCTCATCGATCACTCAACACAACGCGCACAATGAGAGAAGGAGAGAACAACTAAATAAATGGACCAACCAAAACGAAATATCACGCCAAAGAGCTGTTCGCATGCTAGCTTGTCTCTCTCACCCGTCTGCCGCCTTGTCGAGCTCATCCCCCAAGGGCTTCGATTCCTTGTTTCCCATCGGCTCGCCGCCGCCGTCCTCCCCGCCGGCCCCTTCTGTTCGATCGAGGAAGGAAATCGTTTTCGATTATGTTGGAGAGAAAAAAGTGGCGAGAGGGAGTGAGGGAGAGAGAGAGAGAGAGAGCGGGGGTATGGGCACAGCAGAGGCGGCCTTGTGCCCACGCCACGCAGATAAGGGGACAAGAAAACACGCCTCAACAATGCGCCTCTGCCTGCTGGTGTGTGTGACTGTGCTCGAACTCCGGTTGGAGATGGTGTGATATAGATCGTAGATGCCTCCCCACCACGAGGGGAGATGCCACTGCCCCCTCGTTTGCTAGTTGTTTTTTTGCGCTAAGAGGTGAAATTTCATCAGACCATCTTGGTTTTAGAGAGGGGGCCGCCTCTTCGCGCATGCCGGCTCGCGCGCATTTTTTTTTTCTTCATGCATCTCCGCCCCCGTCTCGTCATCCTCTCCCAGCAGGCGTGCGTGCGTCTCCATTTTTTCCATTTTTCTGGTGTCCCTTTTTCCTCACCTTGCGAAGCCACCATCATCGCGTCGCGTCCGCTGGGAGGCTCTGCTCCTTTGGTCCTGCCGCTGCTCTGTCTGACCAAACGCTCGACGCGGGCAAAGAGTTGCTGATTGCCTCGCCACGACTGCATTGACGGATAGAGATGCTCCGAAGGACCGCGCCTTCATGTAAGAGTTACCCCGCTATCTCTGCGTGTCACTCACGTCTCTTTTTTCGAAGACTTAGCGGCACCGCCGAATGGTTATCTCCCCAACCAAGCCAATCACTGCCTACCCCACCGTAACATGCCGGGCCCAGTCTGCGAGTCGAGTGACTGAATGTCTCACCGACGCAGGCGACCGACGACCCGCCTGCTCCGCAACAAGCAAAACGGTTCGCGCTTGCCTAGAGGGCGGCTGAGACAACAAGCACGTTGCTGCAGAGGGTTTGCGTTGGAGCTTCGTTAGTTGTTGAGCCCGTGGTGCATACAATCCCCCCGCGAGACAGCAAAAGCTTTTTCTCTCTCCGAGCGCGCGACCGGCAGCGCAGCAAGCAGAGCACCAGCACATATGGCGGAAGCTTGGTACTACGTGGACGATGCCACCAACGCCCAGCAAGGGCCGTGCACGGTCCCGGAGCTGGAGAGACTCTATGCGTCCTCCTCCGTGACCGACTCCACGCTCTTCTGGAAGGACGGGCAGGCGGATTGGTCGGCTCTATCGGCCTTGCCGTCTCTGCACGCCCAGGTCACGGCTCCGCCACAGCGTGGTCCGCCGGCCTTGCCAGCGAAGACGCTCCCGCCGGTGCCCGCAAAGCCTAGGGCGGGAGGAGGGGGGGGGGGGGCATACGCAGCGGCGCAGGCTAGG